TTCAAGTAGTCCGATGAGAGAATCTTGAATCGGAGGGATGCTCGAGCTCCAGCGCCAAAATATCCAAGAAATTAGCTAGTCGAGAAGGATGAACCACATTGACTATGGGCGAAGAATCGGAGATTTCCTCACCGATTCCAAGCTTCCTCGCTACGTTGACCATGACCAGGTCATTAAGACCTAGTCTCCAAAGCGAGATAAAACGACTTCCCCGAGCTTCTGGACTCGCGTAGCGCTCATGGTGAAATTGGAGAGAATCATTGACATGCGTCGTTGTGGTCTGCGCCAGCACACGACCTGGGCCGGTATGCGGATCCTGATCCACGCGTGATCCTGAGAAAAAAATCGCGTCATAAGATCAATGTGATGATTTTATGACATAAACCTGATTATTTTGCTCAGATCAACAAAATTGGGATCATGGGACAGGATCATAGATCATTCTCGTGATCCGTAGATCACATCACCCATGATCCTGTCAGTTTTGGATCGGGATCGTAGATCATGGGTCACTGATCCAGGATCAGTGACCTAAAATTGATAGATCACGACTCACGATTCATCAGTGATCCGATCACGGTCGATCACTTGCACGAATCAGTATCGATGAGACACGCGATCAAGAATCACGGCGGAGCGATGCTGCTTCGCTCCGTGTGTTGCGCATGTTGTGCCTGTTACTGGGCAACACAACTAGTAGCCAGACTTCAGTGGATAGCGTAGTCGAACTTCACAACAAGGGCAGACCTTCGAGGAAGGGCAGCCGAGTGAGAAGGATCAAAAAGGAGTTGTAACTCTACTTATCCTTAGTTCATGATCACACAGTGCGCATACGTGCGTAGCGCGATCGATGGCGAGCGAATATAAGTGATCAGACGATAACGATTACAAGGGCGAGCGCGTAGGGCGCGATCCCTACACTCCCCCCCCTCTTAGTCTGGATCACGCTAAGAGGATAAAAGATGGGTATATCGGGCAATAGTCAGAGCAGATAAAAGGGCAATAAAAAGAGACTCAACCAATCCAGCAAGTCTATCATCTCCTTCCGCGAACCAAACCAACCAACTAACCAACCGGCCGACCGACCATTTCACCGTAAGGGCTTATGCTCTCGAGCTAGTTCTAGTGGGTTACGAATCGTAACTTACGATTACCTTCGTAGAGGCGTAGGTTCCGATCATGGGCAACACGAAAGGAGCTGCCAAGGGCATTGTCGTAGCATGCTTGAGTAGGGTATTGGTCAAACCATTCGTCGTCATGAATCTCGAAGGGCTTAATCAGGGAGCGATCGAAACTCCATCCCAAGGGCATAGGGAATGTACCGTCACATCGAGTAACAGTGCCACGACTCAGCATCATCGTATACCTCAGTAGAACAGCTTCAGCCGCAGTAATAGATGAAGGCCTTCTAAGGACACCAACACCTTGATCGGGGGACTCGATAACATGACTAGTAAAAGCGGCGAGGCTCAGTAGTTGGGTCCAAGTCGAAGTCGTCGATCCAACCGAGGTCTTTGAGAGCACCGGTAGCCTCACGCACCTTGTGGGGTTAAGAGACATGCATGTCGACATCGGCGTGGGGAATAATACTAACCAATGGACAAGGGCGAGGCTCGAACACGCGGTAAGGGTCGTGGTGACGGTGGAACTCAAAAGAGTCGGCATTTCCGTCTAATGTGAGAAAAAGGGCTTCGACAGAGAATCCAAAGTAGTCAAAGGCTGGACGAGGGCCATGTAAGTATTCTTGTAAGGACTCATCGTCTTCTGGTTGATCGGGGCCATAGGAGTTGTCGGTGTCAATTGAAGCATCATCACCGTCGTTGTCGTAGTAGTTGTTAGTAGCCTTAATAGCAGTAAGGGCAGTCGAGTCGTCAACATGTGCCGAGACCATGGCGTCAGTCATTACAGCTTGATCACGCATACTACGCGGTGGCGCCGAAGTCGGGACATATGACGAGGACGAACCGCTAACGGCTTGTGGTCGAGTCGGTGGTCGGGGAGGTTGAGTAATGATAGGCGGAGGATACGACGGACGATGGGGACGGGAGCCGTGGTGGGGATATCATTGGCACCTCGGGATCGACCCGCAGGGCCTCTTCTCGCTGTAACAGAGCAATAAGTCAAAACGTCCGAGACAATATCGATTTCAGAGACAAGGGCCAAAAGGGACAATGTTACGGCCCTAACGTGACGTAAAAGCTAGACAATACACGTGTGCAAATATATAGCGCGGCGCACAAAAAGGCAAAAATCTAATGACGTCTTCCTAATGGTACATAAGTCTGAGGATCAAACCTCACTCTTGGGTTTCTCGTGCGGTGTCCACGTCCTAGAGGTCGACCAGCCGCTTCAGAAGGGGCGGCCGTCTCCATAACATCTGCCGTTGCAGGAGCCTCAGCCGTTTCTTCACAGGGTGGTGACGTAGGGGGCGATGGGACAGCTGACGAGGAATCTGTAGAAGGCACCGATTGAAACTCGCTGTTGTCGGTGTTGTCGTCGGGTTGTAGGCGTGAAGAACTAGAACAGGTCTGGGCTGGCGAGGTCTCAACGCGTCCGTCGAGATCGCCTGCACTTCCCTCTTCGGGTAGATGAGGTTCACCACTGCGTCCAGTAGGGACATCATCCGGGGTCGCCGTACTAATCGTTTCCGACAGGGGTTCTTGTCTTGAGTTTCGTGGTTGTGGTTGTGGGAAGTCGACTTCAATCCGGAGTAAAGCATCAGGGTCAGGGGGTATCTCAGGGCCGGCCAGGGGGTCCATAGGGTAACCATCTCCTAGACTCACATTGTCTGTAATGACATCGGGTCGTACAGGGGGTTCAGGACCGGGGGCGTTGCTGAGATCGGGGTCAGGCAAGGGTGATCCAGCACGAGGTAGTGGATCTTGTCGCATAATACCAAGGGCGTCAGGAACGGCGTCGGGCTGAAGGGGGTCGATAGCGACATAATCAGCTGACAGAACACGAACTTGAAGCGTCTCTTGGTGCTTGAGCTTGAGAACCTTGTTCTCTTGGCCAGGCATCTGACCAACCACAAACCAACCAGGGCTCCACTTAGGTTCAAGCTTATTTCCGGTTTGAGGGCCAAGACGTCGTACTAGTACACGTTGTCCAACATAGAATTGACGAGCAGTGGCCTTCTTGTCGTAGTAAGCTTGGGCTGCAGCAGAGGAGGAGGCATGGGCGAGGTCAACAAGATCCTCAAGGTGGATCGCGAGGGCCTTGACGTACTCGTTATACCCGAAGGGGTCGAAGGAGAACTGATCAAGGGCCTGCAACGATGGCAAAAAGACAGACTTCGGTTCGCGACCGAACATTAGTGTGAACGGGGCGAACCTTGTCGCTGAGTGAACAGAACTGTTGTAGTGCCACAATAAAGAAGGAAGGTACATAGGCCATTGGTGAGAGTCGGTCACATGAGTCCGGAGGAGGCCAATCAATGATCGGTTAAAGCGCTCAACCAAGCCGTCACCCGAAGGGTGATACGGTGTGGTATGGCTTTTCTCAACTCCTAAACGCTCAAGGACAATCTTAAGGGCATTCGACTCAAACGCAGGGCCTTGGTCACTATGCACACGACCAGGGGGCCCGAAGATGCTAAAAAGATCTAAAAGGGCTCTTACCACTTCAGTGGTATCCTCGGATTTCACCGGTATCGCCGTAGCCCACCGTGTGAAATAATCTTGGACAACCAATAGTGAACGAATATTATCGTCATTGGGGGGCACCTTCAAGTGGTCGATAGCAATTAAGTCCCAGGG